TGTGCAGGTGGACTCTGTCTCTTCCTCCCCTGTGTCTCATGCATGTATGGGCGTGTGTGAGTTCTTCTGTGTGTGAGTGGCAATCAAATTGTCAAATAACCAAGTTCATAACAGAGAGAGAGACATACCTGTTGGAGGTTGGCAAACATAGCTTCTCATGTGTGAACTTGTTTTGTAAGACTTCGATTTTCTAGACAACTTCGGAACTGCAATCAGACTCGTTCTCAAACACACTTTTCATGCATGTAAACAGCAACGCAGCATACTGGCGACATGCGCCCACTCAAAACTCAGAGATATGGCTTTCAGCGCCCAAACATCTCACTGTTCACATACACTGGATCACCCTGGATATCCCACACGCATCACTCTTAACACTAGAGCACACACACACACTCACTACTAACTACAGCTATGGCAGCTATGGCTGCCTCTAACCTATCGCTATGCTAACTCCTCCTCTCTTGCCCACTGCGTCCTCCGGGCTCATCTGCAGACCTCCTTGCACAAGTCGCTGTGGCAACGCTTCCGCATGGCTCACGCAGGAATCAATGAATGGCTGGGCGCTGCCTCTTGATTTATACTTCAGAAACTCGTTGGTCTGTCCTTTGCCATCGGCCCTTGGTGCTTACAGTCCCCCTGTGGTACTTGCTGGACCGGACTGGGACTGACTGGACCTTCCGTTGACTGACTGTGGACTCACCGCTATCCTACCGCCGTTGCACTGCTGTTGCACTGCGGTTTAGTCCACCACTTGCCTCACCACTTGACCACTTGCCGACTTGCCTACCTTCTAGAAGGTCTACAGCTAAGCTTCCAGAACTCACTAAGACTCCTACGCTATAGACCTACAGATCGAACCCCTGCTGTCTATGGACCTACGACAGGTCTACCAACTGCCTACGAATACACAGGTCACAGGTTCAATTCTCGGGGTCTACACAAATACTGTACATGGGTAGGGTGAGGTCTAGGGATCGAACCCTGGGTACTGCATCCGCTACTGCTAAAAGGTGAAAACCGTTTCAGAACTGCTCCCCTTGTGTTGATTTGGATCTCATGTTTGGAGTTTTGGGGTGGCGTGTGAAGCAGTGTAAATTGGTGGGCTCATTGCGCTATATTA